CCGCTCCCCTGAAATGTTTGTCTGCCCTGCTCCATTAAAAGGCAGTTTGATCTCTGTTATTTGCAAATGTTTTTCTTCTCTCCTTGAAACTTTTTTAAGAGAAAAAAAATGTTTAATCCACTAAGGAAGCATGATGCATTTCTGAGGAGAAATGAGCCTTCTCAAGGGCTTACCTGGCTCTTCAGGGAACATTAACTAAACCACCCTTAAATGTGTGAATACCTCTGGCATTTCATGAAATACATCCAGGCAGGCATTTTTTTAAAGACCGTATTTATTTATTTTTAGAGAGAGGGGAAGGGAGGGAGAAAGAAAAGGAGAGAAACATCCACGTGAGAGGGAAACATCAATCAGTTGCCACTCATGCACACTGACCTTGGACCAAACCCACAGCTCAGGCATGTGCCCTGACCGGAAATGAACTGGCAATCTTTAGCTTTGTAGAATGACGCCCAACCAACTGAGCCACACTAGTCAGGGCTGGGTGGGTATTTATATATCCTAAAAAAAATGTATCTGGCCAAATGGGTTTGGAGAACTCCAGGGGTAAGTAAAATTAAACAGATTCTTTATTGCAGGACTTTCTAGGCTTTGTTAAATGTTTGTGACTATAAGAGGGGCCAAAATGCACAGTCACTCCCAGTACATGGACTGTAGACGCCTTCTCCATGAAGTGCATCTCACAGGATTGGTGTTTCTCAGAACATAAGTTTTACAAGTAGTTACTTAAAACCGATGAAGTAACCACATAAAATTTTAAATATTAATACGGCAGTAGTATACTAAGTTTACAATGAGGCGTTCCATTCAAAAACATTGTTAAATTGCTGTGGTAGACATATAAAGGGCCTATAAAAGGCAGATAATTTGAGATAAGGTACAGTAGTTCTTAAAATATTGAATCCATCTATGACTAGTGTGAATTAACCCAGTTATATAGCCCATAATTCTCAGTTGTCATTAGTTGGTTGTGATGACTGAGAATTAACAGGTTAAAACAACTGCTGTGTTTCTGTATACCTATTGCCATGTTAGATACAATGGGAGATAGAAATAGATAATTACCCTAGAGCATTTAACAGTCCAATTGAGGAACTAAGTTTAAATAAGTGACAAGAAAACAATTTCCCTTTAAATTCCCACCTGAAAAAAAAATGGTATCACTGATTATTTATTTATTCTAAATGTCCTCATTTGCCACCTCTGTTTAATTTTTTGTTACTAGTTCGTATTATTTGTACAGTAAAATCCTTCTTAAATGAAATACTTAACACGTAACAAAATAGACATGTAGACAGACATTGAGAGAAAAAGCCTTTTTAAAATGCCATGTTACATAATAAGATAATGTCATAATTGTGAGAACATGTTCAGTATGTGAATTTTGTTAAAATGGCGTTTTTATTTCTTAGATATTATATACTACATGTTCTTCCTAGTATTTGAAATACAGAATGTCTGTCATTCATGTCTCATATAGATTTATAAATGTATGTGTTTATCTGTCCTGATTTGAGGCTTACAACATTTTATGCAGTTTTAACTCCTCCAGGTAAATTTCAATGAATTGTGTTTTGGTTTATTCATAGGCCATCTGAATTTATCTGGGTTATATTTTTAATGATAACAATACAATAAAATTTAATGACTCATTTTCTAGAATCCCATGAATAAAATATAAAAGATGAATTTAATTTACAAGACATTAATAAGGAGCTCCAGTGCATCTCCTCCTTCTGATATCTTTCCAGAGAAATCTAATTATTTTTCACTCATTATTTCTATAAAAACTGTAAAAGTCAGGTCATATATATTTGCATATTTTTTTTAAATCACTTTGAGAACCTACTAACTATTCCTTCAGAGAAGATTCACAGGAAAAGGCGAGGACGTCTGTTTTCAGCTAATCTGACACAGCGCGTGAGCTGGCATTCTACCTGATCACCATGACACTGTCATGGGTTGTTGGTCTTTCATCTTCAGAAATCAGTGATGATCAGAGCACAGGTTTTCTTTCCATTTGCCACATTCTATACTGGGTTAACCCAAAAAGAAGTCAAGAAGATTGAGGTTTTTAAGACCGGCACTAGCCAAGAAGTATATACCACACATTGTTCCATGGTGTCAGGTTCTAAAATCTTAATTATCCAACTCTTGGTTGTATTGATCTTTTGTATTGTTTTTTAGTCTCTATTTCATTTTTCTGCTCTGATCTTTATTATTTCCTTCCTTCTACTCACTTTGGACTTTGTTGTTCCTTTTCAGGTTCCTTTATGTGTAAAGTTAGGTTGCTCATTTGAGATTTTTTTGTGTGTATGTGACAATAGCCCTGTAATGCTATGAATTTCCCTCTTCAGACTGCTTTCTCTGTGTCCCATAGGTTTTGGGTTGTTGTGTTCTTATTCTCATTTTTTTTCAAGGTGTCTGCTGATTTCTTCTTTGCTCTTATGTTTACCCCATTCGTTGTTTAGGAACATGTTAGTCAGCCCCCGTGTCATTGTGTGTTTTTCTTTTTTTCCTTGTGATTGGTTTCTAGTTTTATATCACTATGGTCAGAGAAGATGCTTGATATAATTTCAGTTTTCTTAAATTTAATGAAACTTGTTTTGTGTCCTAACATGTGGTCTATCCTAGAAAATGTTCCATGTGCCCTTGGAAAGTATTTTTATTCTGCTGCTTTGGGGTGAAATGCTCCGAAGATACCGATAAATCCATTTGATGTAGTGTGTTGTTTAAGGGCATTGTCCCCTTGAGGATTTTCTGCCTGGAAGATTTACTCTCTGAAGTCAGTGGTGTGCTAAAACCCTCTGCTGTGACTGTATTACTGTCGGTCTCTCCCTGTATGTCCATCAAGAATTCTTCTATCTATTTAGGTGCTCCTATGTTGGGTTCATAAATGTTTACAGGGGCCATATCCTCTTGTTGGATCGCTCCCTTACTTGTTATCCAGTGCCTTCTTTGTCTCTTCCTATGGAATTTAGCCAAAGAAACTCGAAACACTAATATGAAAGAATCCATATCTAGGTTGATTATAGGAACAAACTTCTTTTATTTTGTTATTTTAAACTATTTGATCAAAGGTGGAATTTTCATGGACTTAAAACAATTTCATAACTGAGAAATGTGTGCAAATAACAAACGAGAACTGGAATTATATCTGAGATGAAGCTCTGGACTCTGTGGGTTCCCGTGGCCATATTAGGAAAGTTGCGGTCCTAGAAAAAGAGCAGTTATCCTTTGGGACAGACACCTGAGTTTAAGGATTAGGTAAAGACTATAAGGAGGTAGGTTAATAGTGAGTTAGAAGCTCTTTTCTGAGAATCTGCTTAGTACCTGGACTTTCCTTTAAATTCAGTTTTATATGAAGAAAGGCAGTGTCTAACAAAACAAAGGGCTCTAAATGAGATCACTCTAATAAAAATTTTGGTAATGTTTCATATAATAAAACTCTACCATTTTGATTATAATACAATTTATGATGTTTTCAACTAAACAAGCCTTTTTAAAATTATTAGCTATCGTCCAAAAGCCTATAGTTGCAAAACCAAAAGTTCAAGTCTCAATAACTCTTCAAAAAAAACTGTGTTTCTGCATCAGATAAAACTCATGGCTCCTATGAATGAGGACTACAGATTTCTAGAAAAGTTCAGACATTGCTGAGCTGTGCTATGGTTGATAAATATTCTCAAATCGAGGGCATTGCCATTCTTTGAAAAATAATTTGTTTCTACTTTTTTTGGAAATCTGATTCTCTCTCTTTGGAGGAAATATGGTTTATTAAAAATCATAAGAGCTAAGGGTCAAAGGATTGGCATTCTAGTCCTTATTGTCATACCAACTAGTCACATGCCAAAAGGCCAAGAACTTAAGCAGTCCTTTTAGTTGGTTTCGTTGCTTTTGAAATTGGGGGAGCAATATCTGCCCTATTTCCTATGCTTGTAAAAATTCAACTATTGAGATGCAAAAATTCTTTGAAGAAATAAATGTAATACACAAGGAATGTATACCATTGCGGGGGGTGAGTGTGTTAGTTTGTATAATATTAATATTCACTGGATTTTGTTGCATGTGTCCCTGTACTGCAAGCACTGTTTGCAATCAAATATGTGTTTATTCATTGCAGTTATGTGTGTGCCTATTAATTAGTGTGTGTCTGGTTATTCTACTCTTTCCCGTGTATTGAAAGTATCATTATAACAGAAGATAGGTCTTTGTTATACAGAGTTCTATCCCCAGTAACTGTGCACTGATGAGCATAGAAGGTGCTCTGTAAATAATCGCTGAATGAATGGAAGCATACCTCCTAAGTGTACTGTGCATTGATAGTGTGCACTATAAATTTGTACAATATTTATTCCTTGACACTGTTGGAATCAATGTTGTTTTGAGGTTTGTTTTGGAGGAGTTTTTAAGAATTCAGATATGCTGCAAAATCAAATTTGCAGATCATGTCTATGAGTATTAAGAAATTGATGACTCATTTCTTAATCACTTCTCTTCTGACCTGAATCCCAAACATACGGTAATTCAAATATTTTATGTTGTGGGGGGAGTTTGATAGCATTTAGTGCTCTACTGACATCTTAAGTGATTTTTCTCTTCTTTTGTCTTCTCTTAGAGTGTTGTCCAGGCTTATGTAATAATATGAAAATGTTTGAGAGAATGAGATTCATAATCAGATAAACCTAGGTTCAAGTCCAATTATACCACTTCCCAGTTGCAAGACTTAATGTGAGCCTTTAAGTCTTTGCAACTGGGAAGTTAATTTCTCTAAGCCTTTGATGCCTCTTGTGGGCCTAATTAGAATTCCCTCATGAGTTTGTTGTGAGGATTACATGTGGTATTATGCTTGAGGTACTTAGCATGGTATCTAACATAATAATAGCCTTTAGCTATAGCTATTATTTACGTAGTTCATCTTCTAAACTTTATTCTTTCTTTTTTCTTTTTTGTTTTTGTTTTGTGTATCTGTCTGTGTGTGTATATATTTTCTTTTACAGATGGATATACAACTGATGACATTGAGTTTTACTGGCGTGGGGATGATAATGCAGTAACGGGAGTGACAAAGATTGAACTTCCCCAGTTCTCTATTGTGGATTACAAACTTATCACCAAGAAGGTTGTTTTTTCCACAGGTGTGTATCAGGGAAGAGGGTTAGGGTAAAAGAGCCTTCATCGTCTTTTGTAAAAAGGGGTCCCTCATTTCAGGACTGGGTCTCAGGGAAGGACGGCGGCTACAGAGGGCTGAGATCTGCCCAGAACCTCGGTTCCCCATCATGCCCACGGCTCATCGCAACCCATCGGGCTATTTTCCAGAGGGCGCGCCGCGCCAAGCTGGGAGGCTGAGCTCTGGGTCTCTCTTTTGCCAGACAAGGGGCTAATTGTTGTAGACAGAATACAGAAAGAAATGAAGGCCTGGGTCAGAGTTGTTCCCCCCGTTTCACGCATCTCACAGATGGGAATTGCGGTTGCTGGGGGTAACTAACAGGTTCCTGAGGGTAACTAAGGCACGGTTCGCTCAAGTCTGACCACAGTGAAACTCTCCGAGAGAGCGGGGCAGGAGAATCTCACATTTCCCTCAAAGGGTGGGATTTCTTTATGCATCGTGGCCTCCATTTTGGAACTAAAAACCCTTCCAGGTCTTGAGATTATCCCAATGCCTTCACCACCCTTACTCTTAGAGTGTTGTGGGGCTAGGTTGTTAAACTTGGTTTCATCAGCACAAATTGTTAATAAGAAAGCCCAGCAAAGTAGTAATATGCTACATTGTCATTCAGGGAAAAATAATAAGGCTGCAGGAATATTCCTCTTTATGTTTTCTCATTGAAATGAATTCCCCACACAGATATAGCTAATACTACAGCTGTAAATTCTGTGTTTCCCCTCTGCGAAGGATTCAGGCACTTCCTGTCCCTGCAAACAACTTCAGACAAGAGTTAATAAGAATGCAGTGCAGCCCCTTGCTTTAAAAAGAAAAAAAAATCAATAATAACAGAAACTTTTCCTAAGTGTGAAATCTTTTGAATCCCTGAAATTCTGTAGTAATGAGTTCCTACTTAAAGTACTCTTAATTTAATATTAAGACATTTGGTTTAACCCGAGAAAGCTAGGCAAGGCTTTCCTTCAGTTAGTAAGAATTTCCTCACCCCACCCACACACCCTATTTATCAGTATGACTCAGTCATGCTTTACGACTGAGTTTATATTGTCTAACGCGTGACTCTTAGACCACCACAATCAAAGGACTTAAGAGATATAATCTCTTAGTTAAAGCTCCCACAAATATTTCTCAGGAATAGTAATTCTCCACCTTTGAGTGGGTCAGGGATCCCTTTAGAAGTTTGATTGATGCAGTGATTTTAGAAAAAAAATAATGCATACACATGAAAACCCTTACAAAACTTCTAGGAGTTGCAGTGTAATCTGAAGTATGGCCATTGATCCCCGATTTAAAATCATCCTGGGGCTTTATATCTTAGCCCTGGGGGATAGCTCAGGTTAGATCTAGAGCATCATCCTGATATGCCAAGGTTGTAGGTTCGATCCCCAGTCAGGGCACATAAAAGAAGCAACCAGTGAATGCATAAATAAGTGGAACAACAAATTCTCTCTCTCTCTCTCTCTCTCTCCCCCCCCCCACTCTCCCCTTTCCTTCCCTCCCATTTTTCTCTCTGTCTCTAAAATCAATTTTAAAAAGAGATCTTTTACTATTATCAGATTGTAGGGCCTTATTTTTATATGCAAAAAACAAAAAAAACAAAAACAAAAACTTACCAGATGGACTTGCTGAGAAACAATCGAGAGGAGATATAGGGACTGTCCAGGACTATCTTGTCATCACAGTTGTAGAGAATGAGTATCTTTGATCTGGTATCTGAGGCTGAGCAGAGAAAACCGGGAATCTTTTAATTACTGAGTATGGGATGTATTGAACCCAAAGTAACTCCTGCTAATTAAAAACCCAGCATTCTCAACATCTTCTGCAGAAGAAAGTGCACTTCACTGGGAGCTAAAATTGAATTTGGGAAGGTATAGAGACTGTTTATGAACCTTTAAAGGAAAGTCCTCCAAGTACTGAATAATAATGATGATGTTCTAAAATTGCCTTTCCAGGTTCCTATCCCAGGTTATCCCTCAGTTTCAAGCTAAAGAGAAACATTGGTTACTTTATCCTGCAAACGTACATGCCTTCCATCCTGATCACTATCCTCTCCTGGGTCTCCTTCTGGATTAACTATGATGCTTCGGCCGCAAGAGTGGCATTAGGTGGGCCTTTCCTCTCTCCTGTGGAGTCTGACTCTGTGTGTGTGTGTGTGTGTGTGTGTGTCTCTGCAAGTGTGTGTGTGTGTGTGTCTCTCTGCAAGCACACATTCCATACCCTGAAATTTGTGTGATGCCTTGTGAAACCAGACTGCACACATTATCAGGATTTGACTCTGAGACTTTGGATGATCTGATTCAGCATTAAATCAATTAAACACATATTAAAGCTCTTTCATGTCAAAATTAGTTAACTAAATAGCTGTTGGTAATGAAATTAGTCCCATCAGGGTGATATTTTTATTGAAGCATAGTTCATGTAATGTTTCTTGATAATTATTAAATTTGTGTCTGTGCTCCCTTACCTGGGAAGACTTCCCTTCCCAAGAGACCAAGAGACCAAGAAACGTAGTGTGTAACAAAGAGCTAAGCAGAGAGAATGCTAAAGTCTAATGAATAGTCTGGTGTAGCATGGCAGAGGGCAGAAGAAAACCATGCAAAAATTATGAGACATCATCTAAGATATCACTTATCTTATGCTTGATTTTTCTTTTGCAATAAGACCAGAGGAGGAGAATAAATAATATTTCATGGACATGTTTATGTTGCTCTTCCAGATATAGTAAATTTATGTCCTTTGACATAATCTCTATTATTTTAAGTTTAACTAATTCCTTTAAATGTTGGAATTTTAACTTCTCCCCCATGAGTTCTCAGTTCAATTATTACCCCGTTGGAGAAGTAATTTACTTATTCATTTATCAAGTATTTGTTGAACACCTTTGTGCCATGCCAAGTATGCTAGGCACTGGACATAAAGCAGTGCCCTTCTGGAAGTTATGTTCCAACAGTGAAAGATAGACAATAATTAAATAGCCATGCAAATTGTATTTGGTAAGTTTATTGAGGGAAATGAGCAAGGTAAGGGGGGGTTGGTTCTGCCCGGGGATGCAGTTTATAATAGTCAGGGTAGACCTTATTCATAACTTGTCAATGGAACAAAGACTTGAAAAGGAAGAAAAGTGACAGTTATCTTGGTAAGAATATCCTAGGCCATGAGCGTGTCAGTGAGGCAAATGCAGAGAGGATTCAGGAGTTGAGATAATGTGTGTGAGAGGGGACAGAAAGATTATGAAGGGGTTTGGGGGCCATAATAAAGGCCTCACTCTTATGCTGAGCATAATTAGAGTCATTGAGCAAAGAAGTAACATGATTTGATTTCAGTTTTATTTTTTATTTTTATTTTTGCAGTGCTATGGTTTTTTATTATGTTTCAGTTGTTTTATTTTTTTTGTTGTATTTTTTTGGTTTTTATAGTCTTTTTTTCCCCATTACCATTTAGTCCTTTTATACCCCCTTCCCCACCCTACAATCACCAAGCTGTTGTACACGTCTGGGAGTCCTTTTTCCTCTTTGCTCAATCATTCCACCCCCTACCTTCCCTCAGCCTTAGCTGTCACCCTGCTCTTTATCTATGAGTCTCTCTGTTCTGCTTGTTAGTTCAGTTTGTTCATTAGACTGCACATATGAGTGAAATCATATGATATTTATCTTTCTCTGACTGGCTTATTTCACTTAGCATAATATTCTCCAGGTCTACCCATGTTGTTGCAAAAAGTAAAACTCTTCTTTTTTATGGCCAAGTAGTATTCCATTGTGTAAACTTCCCATAATTGTTGTATCCACTCATCTACTATTGGACATAAGGGCTGTTTCCATGTCTTGGTGATTATAAATAACACTGCAATGAACATAAGGGTGCGTATGTTCTTTCATATTAGTGTTTTGAGTTCCCTCTAATATATTCCCTGAAGTGGGATCACTGGGTCAATAGGCAGATCCATTTTAATTTTTTGAGGTATCTCCATACTACTTTCCACAGTGGCTGCACCAATCCGCATTCCCACCTATAGTGCAAAAGGGTTCCTCTTTCTCCACATCCTCGCCAGTCTTTGTTGTTCACTGATTTATTGATGGTAGCCATTCTGACAGGCTTGAGATGGTATCTCACTGTGGATTTAATTTGCATTTCTCTGATGATTAGTGATGTTGAACATCTTTCATATGTCTATTGACCATCTATAGGTCCTCTTTGGAGAAGTGTCTGTTCTGATCGGTTATCCATTTTTTAATTGGGTTGTTTGATTTCCGTTTTAAAGGGATCACTTTGGCTGCTCTGTTGAGTGTAGACTGTGATGGTTCAAGGATGGAAGAGAGAAGTAATGACCTCCTGATTCAAGTCCCTGTGATTTAACCTCTTAAAAGATTATAGATCTCCCCTTCATAGACCAACCACTATTACAATTGATAATTATTTGGTTTGTAATGTCACCTTCCTCATGGCACAGAAAGATCCTTTGGAGAAAGCTCCATATCTAATTTTGATTACATTACATATGTATTTGTAGTATCTCTCATAGTGAATGATAGTAAATATTTGCTGAATAAAGGAATGAATGAAATTTATAAATGTTATTATTTCCAAGTAAAAATGTGTTATCCATTTTATATCTATTATAGGAATAATAAGTAATTTATTTTTAAGAGAAATTTTTAAAATAACTTATGTTAACAATTTGTTACCAGATCAGAAATACCTTAAAATAAGATTTAGATAAATAGTAAAATCAGCATTTCCAGTATTATGATATCCATGACATATAACATAAGATGTAGTTGATATAATGAAGAGAAAAATGAAATTGGAAAATGTTTCAAATAGACTAATATTGTAAAAAGATATGAGGACTCTAAGACACGTAGCTCTAAAGCGAGACCAGGGTTTTTCTGGCCATGCTCAGAATCAGATGCTCAAATTTATTTTTTCTGTGTCTGTTTGATGAGCATGTATAAAAACAAGACTCAAATTGTGATCTTATTAGGGAGAGAAAATTAAATCAGGAAATTTATGTTCCAAAACGTCATTGAAATGAAACAACTTCTGGGATGTGTTATTAGGTAGTGTTTCAGGAAGCAGGTTTCTGAGTCAGAGACATCCCAGTTTAAAATGATGACCGTACACCCTCCCGACTGTGTGCTCTGGACTCTGAGCTCTATTTTGACAAAGCTGGGACTTGCCGTCCTCAGGGCTCTAGACCCCTGGTGCTTTTTTCAGCATATCTGTTTATCCCTCCATTTACACCTTTGAGGGAAACTACTCCCCACTGTTAGGGATGCTTACTGAGGAGGACAAATAATTATAGTTTTAAATGACATCACCTAGTGTGGCATTTTCCATCGGGCATCTTGTACTACTCACACAGAACTCATTTGTGTATTAGATGCCCAGGTGCCCAATCTAGAAACATGGAAGTTTTAACTTCCCTATTACCCTCCACTCCCGATTTCCCAATTTTTACCGTCATCTGTCCATATCATCTGTATAATGCATTGATTAATTTTAGTAGTGTTGTGATTATTTTATTTCCCTTCATAACAGATTATTCTGAAAAACTCAACGTGTATTCTTTCTTCCTGTCTTGTATGCTTCTCTCATGCCCACACTGCTACCAGAGTGGTTACCCGAAACACAAATTGTCCCTACGTCTCTCTGCTTCAAGCTGGTCAGTGGCCCCATAATTTCAGTTGCCTATAATTTCAAGTTCGGACGCCTCATTAGGCTCTGTGTGTATGGCTCTCCGTTATGTAGCCCTTACTTAACCTTACTTCCCTCACGAGTCTTCCTGTCATGTCCCCATGTACCCACATAGACTGTCCTGAGAGTCTTGGTGAGCTGTATACTCTCACCCCACAAAGCAAGCCCCTCTTTAACAGAAAGCTCTCTTCCCCACCGGCACTCTACGGCTTAACATCACTTTTGACCTTCAGTCCTTGGCTGCCTGGATGACTCCCATTTACTTTTCAAAATGCAACTCCAAAATCTCCATTTTCTGATCTCTTCCTTGCACACTACAGGGCTCATCGGGTTTTCTCCACATTTTCAACACTTAGCCTACACATAGCAGCATTTAATTCACTTTTCAGTCCCCCCCCCCCCCCGCTAGATAAATAACTATAACTATTTAACTGAAGACAGGTTCTAAAACGATTATAGTTTACTCTAAATTGATGACTTATGCATATCTCCAGGGCCTGTCACAGAGCTGGTATGTGATAAGTGCCCAGTAACTATTTGGTGGCTGGCATATATGAATGAGTGAAGAGTACAGAAATCTGTACAGCTATAATGAGAGCAGCAGGGAAATAGGAACATTATTATTCTAACTCTACTTTTTTTTCCAGGAATTACAACCGTCCTTACAATGACCACCATCAACACCCACCTCCGGGAGACTCTCCCTAAAATCCCCTACGTCAAGGCCATTGACATGTACCTGATGGGGTGCTTTGTCTTTGTTTTCATGGCCCTCCTGGAATATGCCTTGGTCAACTACATCTTCTTCGGAAGGGGACCCCAACGCCAAAAGAAAGCAGCTGAGAAGGCTGCTAGTGCCAACAGTGAGAAGATGCGCCTGGATGTCAACAAGGTAAGCCCAGAGGGCCAGCCCTCCTTGCTTCTTAAACTCAAAGAAGAATGCCCGCGATATAGGTTCAAGGCCTTGTTTAACAAATGAGAACACCAAGGCCCAGGGAAGAGAGTGGGTACTTTTCCCCAACTCAGAAAGGTAATTAGTTGTTGGAGGCCCCAATTCTCAACACAGCATTCAGATGTCCTTGACCTTAACACTAGGGTTGCCTAAACCATAGTCATCTGAAAAACACCTTTGTGACTTCTTCACTATTATCAATATGATGTGTACTATTAATTACTTTATTTAAATTTACTCACACTGTTTAAATTTACTTAAAAAAGAAATTTCATAGCACATTAAGCGGTGTTCCTTGCTAAAAGATAATCTTAATTATAAATAAATAAAAATGTAATTATGTTACTAAATTCTAGGTTACACTAGAGGCTGGGCCTCGGCTCTGCACTTCCTTTGATTTAGAAGGGAGATAAGCAAGCACAGAGATGCATTCAAGACCTACCAGCAACAAACTGAGACTCTCTCCTTGAAGTCATCAGAAGGATAGAAAGTGAAGTAAAAGGGGAGAAAAGAATAATTTTCTCCTTAAGTGGCAGATAATTACTTGATGCCTTGCACACATACCACTTAAAATCACTGAAGCATTTGGCTACAGGAGGTCACTATCTTGCCGAGTCCTTGCTGCTCTCATTACAGCGGTACAGATTACTGAACTCTCCATCCATTCGTAAGCGCACTCAAAAAGTAATTCCCACGCAGTTTTAAACCTGGTTCCTTCTTCAAGGCAGTGGTTCTCAATCGTCCATGCCTGGTCAAGTGACTGGGAGGGCGTTAAGAATACTGATGCCCCAGTTTCCTCCCCAGCAATTCTCATTGTCCCGGGGTGTGCCTAGGCATCATAGTTCCAAGTGCGGGAACTAGGAGAACAGTAGTACTTGTAAACCATCTGGAATTCTTAATCAGAGCACTAATTATTTAATTGACATTTTAATATTTCTAATGTCAGTTTAATTCCAAGGATAGATCACTGGAAATAATGTCTACTATTGAGCTTTATTTGGAGCAAATCCAGTGAAAGCTTCTGACTCACTAATGTTCCCACATATTGCAAAGGTCTGATCATTGATTTTGGACAATTCTTTCACCAGAGGCACTCCCTTTCTGGCAGATGTCATTTGTAATGATACGAATCTAATGTGTGGCCCCTGAAAGCTGGTGAACCACAGCTCTGGGAAACTGTCCACTTCTTTCCAATGTCTGAGATTTCACTATCAAAAACTATCAATAGATTCCAACGTAGCATTCGGGCTCTCTCAGGCTATCAAATGAGAGAGTGCTATCTAAACCCAATTTATGATTGTCCTGATACGGTGGCCTTAATGAAGAAAAGAAAATGAATAAATAAATAAAAACTGTCTCATAGGACTGCCAGTTGAAATGAGTCTAAATCAATTGCCTAATGCAAAGCTGACTTAATAACATCTGATCTTTTTTCACTTTCATCTATCTTATTTTTTCATTCCAATTTGCATTTAAATGACAAATTTAAGACCCAGAGAGTGGCAGTTTTACAGGCAACTGAACCTGGAGAGCTTCAGAGAGTTTTAAAATCAGTGTACTGAATGGAGGTGCCCCATAGTGAGGAAGAAGCTCTCACCCTCTTGGCCGAAGTTGGACCCATAATTCAGAACATAGAATATGAGAGAACAATCAACATACCTAGAGTTCTTCTACTACAGCGGTCGTCAAACCACAGGCAGAGTTGGCCGTGTCAATAGATATTATGGGTTGTCAACACTGGGGGAGGGGATTGCCTCTGATACCTAGTGGGTGCAGGCCAGGGATGCCGCCAAACATCTGCAGTGCGTCACACAGCCTCCCCATTGCAAAGAGTTACCCATCCCAGGATATCAGTATCCCTGAGCTAAAAACCTCTTGCCAATTCCCTGCTTGTAAACATGGGAAACTGAGGCTCAAAAACAATAAGATATTTGTCCTAGTCTTAGAACTCTTTAAGACAAGTGGTTTCTCTTCTTTCTTTGATCAGCAAGCGTAGCATCAAGACATGAGGAGTTATTATTTAGCAAAATGTTATTGAAATATATTGGGAGGAAGTCAGTCAGGTTCAAGATTTACTCTCTGTTTAATAGTTGTATGACAACTGGCCAAAGAAAATCAGCCTTACTAACCTTCAGTTTCCTTGTCTGTAAAATAGGGTTAATTCCTCTTTCATAGGTTTTCTATGAAGATTATCTGTGTAATGTATAGAGAGGTTAACATAGTCTCTAGCCCATGGTAAGCACGTAGTAAGTGGTGAATATTAAATATTATAAACAGTAGATACTACTTTTTAAAATAAAATCTACAGTCTCCAGATCTATTGGCGAGTTTGCTTCTGAATTTTACAGGGATAACATGAAGGATGCCATGTCCTCCCTAAAAGGGGATGAGCCACAGAGGAATGTTTCCTGGTCAGAAGGTGTAAAGTCAAAGCAGGGAAATCCTTTATCAACAGTTATTAGTTTAAAAATGTATAGCAAATGAACTACTACTTACTTTCTTAGGTCAGAAAACTTACAGCTGTATTGATTAGATTAATCCCCAAAAGGTGACCATCTGGCATTTCTGACTCCCACGGTTTCTTTGGGAACCCAGCAGGAAGGGGTAGGGAGATCCACATTGCGCTCTGATTGCACAGTGCTCTCTTTTGTGTGAGCGTCATGAATAATGCCACTTTATCTTTTATCAAGAATGCCCCTTTATTCCAATTGTAATTCTTAAGATTTTTTTCCAAAGATTGGGCACATATAATCAACTAAGTATTGTTGGCGGCTCTGGAAAAAATCAGTCAGTAGGGGAGAGATTGACTCTTTCATCTTCCTCCTGATGGTGTGCTGGAGGTGGAAGCTGCGAGTCAGGTGACCCAAAGCGATGGCTGTACTGTGTGCTCCGACCTGAGGCCGGGGGGAGGGAAAACGGAAGCGTGGCCACGCGGGAGCCCCTCTTGCTTCCACGGCGTACTTTCCCATTTCCCCATCTCTATATTAATTTCCTGTGAGTATTTTAACAAGAGTACCTGAAGCTATTAACACAGTTCTTATACTGTCATTTAACTAATGTGAAAACGAAAACTCTTAAGGAAAGTCAAATATTCAAAGTTGCATAGCAAAGGTTAAATTTCTGAGGCTTCGGTTGGGTTTTCCAGTCCTTTCCCAGTGTATGACCCACAGTGTTAACAAGTGAAAAGAATAATAATATAACATTGAAAAGCTGATTCCACATTAGTTCATACATTTAGTCCACCTGAAAACCACCTGTCTGCTCATTAGTGTCCATAACTGACAAGCAGCGTCATTGTCAGAGTTAGCTTCATGTGACATGCTAAGTTGTAAAATGCTAAGATTTTTAAAATAAACCTCAGGCCAACAAGAGGTCTACTGGATATTTCTTTTCCCCCCATGTCTTCAGGAGTAGTTAAGAAAAAAAAAATCTCTATTCTAGTGCTAGAAGTATCCTTTCTATTATCCCTTACATTCTTGTGTGTGTGTGTGTGTGTGTGTGTGTGTGTGTTTGTGTTTTATAGAATTTGCTTCGGATTAATTTTACCCACTTTTTATGCTTATGTCTTCAAGTTTTCAGGTCTCTTTTTTTTTCTTTTTTATGTCGTCTCTTTGTTCATTTTTCTGCCAGTAATTAAGTGTATACATATTAGTTACTCCTGCCTTTCCACCGTGTTGATTCTTACATATCTAAAAGTCTCCAAATTAAGCTGCACCCAAAATACCTCTGTGTGTGGACAGCCTTCATTCTGCATTTATGGGTATTGTGAGTCTCTGCGTTGTCTTTATCTATTGTGCCTAATTTTGTGTTTTACAAAGCCACTAAGATCTTTTAAATCTATTTATTTCTAGTGCTTGGAATTAGTCTTCTTTTAAATAATACATTAAAAAGATACAACTAATTAGAAGTCCAATTCTCTGTGATCACCAGTCTTTCTAAAGACCAGTAGCATTTATCTACATCCAATTTACTTTAACCACCAATTCCTCATCTAGTGGCATCAGTCGACTTAATTGGCACATTCTCTACTTTGTCTTCCAGATTTTTTATAAAGATAATAAACAAAATGGGACCCAATAGCGATCCTTGTGGGACCCAACTGGAAACTTCTCCCCAACTAGACGGACTACCAATTACGATTTCTCTCTGTATACGGTTAGATAGCCAGTTTTTAATCCACTTATTTGTATATCTGTTGGGGCCAATTTGTTTAGCTGTTTCCTTTAAATAATGTATGTGATCTTTGCAGATCATCAATGGACTTGTATCCACACAGATTTGGGGATAAGCTCAATGTTTTGTAAGACCCTAGTGGGGTTCCCCAAGGTTTGCTTTTTAAAAATACAGCTATGATGAATCTAAGCTTCATTGTTCCATTCGGTCATAATTGTTATGCTAAAGAAAGAAACTGAGTGGACCATATCTTGAGATTCTTATTCATTTGCATTGAGAGGTTAGAATGCCATCACATGCTCTGGTATTCCTTAGTGGCTCGTGTGTCTTTTAGTTATGGGTAGGTGACGAATTGTTCGTTTCTTCTGTTGGTTGGCTCAGAATTCAGGAACCTGGTTTTTATCCTGGATTATTAATCTATGCCTAGGAATGTTATGTTTGCATCAAGTCCTTGTTGCTTTATTATTTATTGAACAAATAAGTATTATCTTTTTTGGCTAATACTTAGGGTTTAGTGTCTGAATCCTTGTGTTTGCAATTCTTAATTGGCAAATTGTCATTCGTGGTGGCCTCCCTTGTTGGAGGAGGAGTGGAAGGGTTGTCAACATTCCACCTTGTCACACACTGCTTGTTCAACTTCCGGTTTTTAAATTTTCTGTCTCTTGGTGAGGTAGGGAATGATATTGAATGCTTGTAAATCTTTCCTATGAGGACTTGATGCCAGATGAGTTGTCATTATTGTATCTTCTGAATGTCATGTTCTTCCT